TGGGACCGAAGGCAGATTCAACGGCGAAGCAAAGGGAGCCGCCGTCGCCTCCGCTCATCGTGCAGTGCCCCGCCTGGGGGGTGAATGGGGCCCCACACGCGGGCGGGGGACGGAGGGCCCCGGGATACGGGAAGGGCCCGGCCCACGAGGCAGCGAGGCCGCCCGCCGACTCCCCGGCCCGCGAAGTCGACGAGTCTGAAAAAAAGAGCCCCACCGGGACCCCCTGCAGGTGAGCCCCCTCCAGATGGGCCCCCTCCAGGTGAGCCCCCTCCAGGTGAGCGCCCTCTCGCAGCTGCCGCTTGGTCTTGTACCTGCGGTTCTGGAACCAGATCTTCACTTGAGTGGGCGTGAGCTTGAGGCCACCCGCCAGGTGGTCGCGCTCCTGGGCCGACAGGTAGCGCTGCCGGGCGAAGCGGCGCTCCAGGGCGCTCACCTGCGCCTGCGAGAAGAGGACGCGTGGCCTCCTGCGGCGAGGGGGTCGCAGCGCCTCCCCCGAGCCCGCGCCTAGGTCGCGGGTCTCGGGCCCCGAAGCGGGTCCGGGGGACCTCCCCGCGACCACGGCCCGCACGAGCTCCCTGGCGCCGCCGTCTGCGGGGTCGGGGAATCGCGAGGGGAGCGGAGTTCGGAGTCGAGAATGGAGGCCCCTCCTCCCCCCCCCTCCCCGGAGTACCACGTTCGTGAATTGTGGCAACATTATTTGGAATGTGCCCGATCTCGTGAGATTCCTCCAGCCAAGCGGATTCGAGCCTGGTTTGTACTTCCGTAGGAAACTGCTTTGGGGAGTTGCCAAGGGTACGGGTTTGGCTGCCCGGTGGCCAAAAGGAGGGGGCCTATGCAGGTGAGAGGGGCTGTCCAGGTGAGAGGGTGTGTACAGGTGACAGGGTGTGTACAGGTGACAGGGTGTGTACAGGTGACAGGGTGTGTACAGGTGAGAGTGTGTGTACAGGTGACAGGGTGTGTACAGGTCAGAGGGGCTGTCCAGGTGACAGGGTGTGTGCAGGTGACAGGGTGTGTACAGGTGAGAGGGTGTGTGCAGGTGACAGGGTGTGTACAGGTGACAGGGTGTGTGCAGGTGACAGGGTGTGTACAGGTGACAATGTGTGTACAGGTGACAGGGTGTGTGCAGGTGACAGGGTGTGTACAGGTGACAGGGTGTGTACAGGTGACAGGGTGTTACAGGTGACAGGGTGTGTACAGGTGACAGGGTGTGTACAGGTGACAGGGTGTGTACAGGTGACAGGCTGTGTACAGGTCAGAGGGGCTGTACAGGTGACAGGGTGTGTACAGGTGACAGGGTGTGTACAGGTGACAGGGTGTGTACAGGTGACAGGGTGTGTACAGGTGACAGGCTGTGTACAGGTCAGAGGGGCTGTACAGGTGACAGGGTGTGTACAGGTGACAGGGTGTGTTCGGGTGACAGGGTGTGAACAGGTGACAGAGTGTTACAGGTGACAGGGTGTGTACAGGTGACAGGGTGTGTACAGGTGACAAGGTGTGTACAGGTGAGAGGGTGTGTACAGGTGACAGGGTGTGTTCAGGTGTATAGCGGGTGTCACGCCTGCATGTACCTGTACCGCCGTGCAGGGGGGATCCCTCGACCCCATCGTAGGGCGAGCGAGCGCTAAGTCGATGACGACGACGACGATGATGGCGACGATGATGATCGTGAGTCTCCACGGTCAATTCCTCGGGGAGACTCAAAAGCTCCGCCCCGTGCAGGCAGCGCGTCTCAACCTCGTCACGATGACGTGGGTCGCTGTTGAAGAAGTCGCTGCTGTTGAAGAAGTCGCCGCTGTTGAAGAAGTCGCCGCTGTTGAAGCCGCAGACGGGGACCCGTCCGTTCCAGTCGAGAATCTCCGTGCGCGGCACGGGAATCGACATCATCACCGGGGATGGGGTGGGGGGGTGGTACGCACCGAATGGATCCGTGGATAAAGTCGAAGGTTTGCAGGTTGCGATGTTCACGATCGGATCGCGCGTTTGTCTTACGATTGTGGTGTTCGTGGTGAGAGCGGTGAGAACGGAAACGGAAAGGCGGCGAAGGTGGCGGTGGTTTTGTCTCGCCTCGCTCTTCTGACCGCTGGGGCCATTGGGGATGGAGATGTCAAGAGCCCTTATCTCGGGGTATTTGTGGAAGTCACGGGTCGTGCCGGCCTCCCCTGCGCGGGGGTGGGAGGGAGGAATTAGGGGAGGCAGGGCGCGTTTTTAATTCACATTTCACGCGGCGTGGGTGCCCCTGTTTGCACGGCGTCTTGAGATGATGACGACGATGACGTCGCACGAGGAGCTCCACACGGGCCTGGCTCGATCTCATCCTGAGGGGGGGGGGGGGGGACGCGTGGGGGGCCGCGTTTTCAGTCCCTGGTTGAATCAAGGGCACGACTCTGTTGTGTACGAAGTATTGGCTGCGTTGACCGTTAGGCACCTACATTTGTATACATGTGTACGTGCAGCCGTGGATACGTAAGCAGTTATATCCACGTGAATACAGAGGTAAAGATCATGCGCACGGAGTTCACAGACCTTTAGGGGTGAGCGTTGTCAGCGAGAACCTATGAAGACCGCGACGACGTGTGAGGGGTTGACGCGGCCAGTAGCACTCCCAGGCCGCCTTTGTCTCCCGAGCGCGGATCTCCACGTACCGCGCCAAGTAATCGCTTAGGCTGAGACGACGACCCAGGGCTGAACCCCACCGCAGGTTCCGAAACCACTCGCCACTGATGTTAGCCGTGGACAGGAATCCAACTTCGGGCCGCCGAGCTCGTGGCGCGGTGCGCCAACCACGGCGTCGTCGGTCCCCACAGGCCGTCCACTCGGGATAAGATTTGTTTTTTTTTATTCATACCGCGGGAGTAATCCGATGAGCTATGAAGCTCTTTTTCACATATGTCCAGTAGTCACTTAGGCACCGGGGACTGTGCAATACCTGAACGCTCTCCCCCCCTTCCACCCGAAATTGTGCGGGGGGTGGGGGGGGGGTCTGGGTCATTGCGAGGGCGCATCGGTAGAAGGGCGGGCAGAGTGTTGGGGGGGGGGGTAGAGCGATGCGCCCCTCGGCGCTGAGCCAGAGATGACGCCGAGCCGAGCCGCTCACGGAGCAGCGCCTGACGCCGCACGGGGGTGGCAGCAACGGCTGGAACGATAACGCGTGGAGGGAGCCGCAGTCGAGGCTAAGCCGGCGGCGGCGGGGGGTGAAGGGAGGGAGGCGGTGGGAGCCGGGCTGTGAGAGTGTCTGGGTCGTCTCTCGCCTTATCGCGTCCGCTGGGGGACTGCGCGGCGTTGGGAGACGCGCGCCTGCCGCTGCTGCCACTGCCGCCGCTGCTGCTGCTGCTGCTGCTCTATCTGACTGCTCGCGATGATCGATGTCATCACCAGGTTCGCGTTTAGTCCGAGACGAGTCCAGCACGGCTCCGTCATCGTTTCCACAGGAATGCGTTTCCATTGGAGAGCGCGGAAGTCGCTCGCCCACACGAGGGTCGGTGCAAAGGGTCAGTTGAGATGGTCAGTGGAGATGGTCAATGGAGAGGGTCAGTGGAGGGGGTCAATGGAGATGGTTAGTGGAGATAGTTAGTGGAGATGGTCAGTGGAGATGGTCAATGGAGAGGGTCAGTGGAGGGGGTCAATGGAGATGGTTAGTGGAGATAGTTAGTGGAGATGGTCAGTGGGGAGGGTCAGTGGAGAGGGTCAGTGGAGGGGGTCAATGGAGATGGTTAGTGGAGGGGGTCAGTGGAGATGGTTAGTGGAGGGGGTCAGTGGAGGGGGTCAGTGGAGGGGGTCAGTGGAGATGGTCAGTGGAGGGGGTCAGTGGAGGGGGTCAGTGGAGGGGGTCAGTGGAGGGGGTCAGTGGAGATGGTTAGTGGAGGGGGTCAGTGGAGGGGGTCAGTGGAGGGGGTCAGTGGAGATGGTCATTGGAGGGGGTCAGTGGAGATGGTCATTGGAGGGGGTCAGTGGAGGGGGTCAGTGGAGGGGGTCAGTGGAGGGGGTCAGTGGAGATGGTTAGTGGAGGGGGTCAGTGGAGGGGGTCAGTGGAGGGGGTCAGTGGAGATGGTCATTGGAGGGGGTCAGTGGAGGGGGTCAGTGGAGGGGGTCAGTGGAGATGGTCAGTGGGGAGGGTCATTGGAGGGGGTCAGTGGAGGGGGTCAGTGGAGTGGGTCAGTGGAGGGGGTCATTGGAGAGAGTGGCCGTAGACGTTTCACTGTCAAGACCGTGGCACTTACGGTTGAATAGAACTGGCAGCTGAATGCGTTATGGAAGCAGTCCCTGCATTGGAATATTTGGCCAACGCCACGTGAAGACGCCTGCATTTTAATCGTCTGGGATGAAACGTATGTAGGAAGTGATACCGATTCTAACTATAACTATAAACTTACCTTGTTATTTTACCAGGTAAGGCCCACTAAGCTAAATATATATTTTTCAGAATCGAGAAATTATAGCTCAACTTAGTGGCTTATCGTGTGGAAATTTAGAGCAGCCAAATACTCTAAACGCACGTTTCTAAACGTGGAGAAGGAACCCGGAGGACCCGGAAAAAAAATCCACGCGACCACGGGGAGAGAGACACCGCAAACTCCAAATATAGAGCAGACGTCAGAGTCAGTATCGAACCCACGACCTCCTGTATACCAGGCGAGGTAGTTAACATCTCCTAGCCATTGCGGCGCCCCATCGCACACGCGCAGCAGCAGCAAACATCGGCCCCTACTGGCAGACTGATGCCCCAGGTCACCCTTACAAATGAGACGACTCTGGTCTCGAGAGGAGTCGGCGACAGTGGAGCTGAAGGACGTGCACATATTGATCCTGGGCGTGAGTGGGAAGACTTTACAAGGAGTTACGATATCTTTGTATCTATCCGACCGTGAAACTTTCCAACGTTTTGAGTGAAACATCTCGCCACCGCGGCGCCGCCTCACGAGTCCGCACGCATGGGTTCACGATCCCACCACATGCTCGTACCCACCGTCTCTAAATAACACGCGGGCAAACGTGCACACGTATACATATATATGTATTTATTTGTGATTAAATGCAATAACATAATTGTGCCATTACAGTATACAAGAATATAGATAATTTTATATGTATGTATCAAAGAGAATGTTTCGGATAAGTATATTCCATGTGGCTTGAGTGTATCGCTCGTATTAAAGTCGATAGCGGCGGCTCCGTGCGAGGCCGACTCGGTCACGGATAAAGCAGCGAGCTCCGGGTGGCAGCCGCCACGCGGGCGGGCGAGGCTGGACGAGTCGCCGCGCTCCGTAGCAGCCGGTGGAGAGTCATAAGCGCGACCCGCCAGTGCGAATCGGGACAAATCGCACGTACATACACACACACCGCAGAGAGCACAGGCACCCCGTGTACGAGGCGCCCGCCGGGTTACTGAGTCCGTGGGCCAGAGCAGCAATCGGTACGCGCACGGGGGTTAGGTTTAAAGTTCCAAATGGCAAGCCAGAGGTATCCCTAACTCCTGCTGATCACACTATTCCCCGTGCTTCCTCCCTTACCACGCGTGTGGGCACGCCACGTACGCCCAGTGGCCGTTACCACCCCTTGGGCCCTAAAGCCCATCGTAATTTGGCTGCTGCATTGGTTTGTTTTTATCAGAGCGGCGGCGTTTCTCGCTGCAGCGCCGGGGAGGATATGTGTTGCTGTGCGCGGTCATTCGCTGGGTTCACAAAGCGTGCGGGACGGATGGCCCTAGGGCGTTCGTGTGCAGGTCACAAGCAATCGGTTAGGGTCGTTCACGTCTTCGGTGGCCGAGTGGGCTGGGAGGTCAGAGCACTGAGCGAGATCCTGGACTCGAATCCAAGTAGTCAGTCGCCCGTGCTTAAACTGGGTGCATGAGAGGTTTGATGGTCTCAGCTCTGCGGCCAATAACTGCACGTAAAATAATCCCATTACGTTACAATTTGGTTCTGCCGATACATTTTGTCTGCATTCTAGCTCATGTAATTGAACACCTTTGGGTTTAATGTGATGCGACGAACATTAACCTCAGTGGCAAGCCGGGTGGAAAAGTGGACCGGAGGTCACCTCAAGGGAACTCAGAGGTAGCTCCGTGGGGGCCGCTTGCATGCGCCATCCTCTACCACGTAGGGCTGCCCTGCTTCGCGTCATGCGGCACTGATGGCACCATAATTGAGATCAAGTTGGGGACAAATAAGAAACAACAGAATGTGCGATTATTTTTCTTGCTCTTGATATGGACATTTCTTATTCAAATTAGGTAGAATCTTTTTTTAAATCAATTTCCAAACTTGAATTTGTACTCTAATAAACACTAATAAACACTTATTCCAATAACCTACCCCCCCACCCCCCGAAAAAAAAACAGATTATGAACCCAGTGAATGTTGCCCTCCTCTGGCAAAACGGGCCACCAGAGAATACTGCGACGTCACGTGGTCGTGTAGCAGCAACGATAGCGACGAGAGCCATGGCAGTAGCAATAAATTAACATAAATAGATGCGGAGGCTGTGTCTGGAGCGCGTTGCTCGCAGATTTCGTACAAAACGCGAGGGAGCCGCGTGCGGGGCATGACGCCCCGCTGGCTCGGGACCGTCCATCGCGCGCGCTCCCCACCGCGTCGCGACCGCTCCTGGGCCCTGTCTGCGCGTCAACTCGAACGCCGAGAGCACGTCGGCTATACCTGAGTTTGTGTGGCGGAGGCGCTGGGACCACCACGGAACGTGAACACGCGAACAATCGTGAATTCTATGGCCCCGGGGTTTCACGGTCGAATCCCCCCAAGCCCCCAAGGCACCCCCCCCCGTGCAAAATAAACGGGGAGATCTTCATCCGCTCTGGTTAATCCACCCACCGTGCTGGTTGAGCGGTTTAACTTCGGCTCCGCGCCAATCCTTCGTGGTGTTTTTTTTATTGACACACAACACCTTGACCATGGTATCGAACTTCGGCCTCGCTCTTGCTGTCGTTTACAAACAAGAGTTGTCTTTCACGGCTGTTTCTTTTTTTGTATCTCAAATGTTCCCACGACGTTGGCTCTGCTACGGTATTTGATCCGGAGGGGGATCTCCTGATGGAAGGTGTACCATGGGTGCAGCGGGGGGAGGGGGTGGGGGTTGACCGGGCGAAACGCTGGAGATTGGATTGGGGGTATGGTCATGGTAAGGGCATTGGGCAGTTGCCGGGTTAGGGTCACGAGTAAGGCGAGTGTCTGGTGAGATCGTGTGAGTCGAGTTAGGGTCGTGAGTAAGGCGAGTGTCTGGTGAGGTCGTGTGAGTCGGGTTAGGGTCACGAGTAAGGCGAGAGTCTGGTGAGATCGTGTGAGTCGAGTTGGGGTCGTGAGTAAGGTGAGTGTCTGGTGAGATCGTGTGTGTCGAGTTGGGGCCACGAGTAAGGCGAGTGTCTGGTGAGATCGTGTGAGTCGAGTTGGGGTCGTGAGTAAGGCGAGAGTCTGGTGAGATCGTGTGTGTCGAGTTGGGGTCACGAGTAAGGCGAGTGTCTGGTGAGATCGTGTGAGTCGAGTTGGGGTCGTGAGTAAGGCGAGAGTCTGGTGAGTTCGTGTGAGTCGAGTTGGGGCCATGAGTAAGGCGAGAGTCTGGTGAGATCGTGTGAGTCGAGTTAGGGTCGTGAGTAAGGTGAGTGTCTGGTGAGATCGTGTGTGTCGAGTTGGGGCCACGAGTAAGGCGAGTGTTTGGTGAGATTGTGTGTGTCGAGTTGGGGTCGTGAGTAAGGCGAGTGTCTGGTGAGATCGTGTGAGTCGAGTTGGGGTCACGAGTAAGGCGAGTGTCTGGTGATATCGTGTGAGTCGAGTTGGGGCCGTGAGTAAGGCGAGTGTCTGGTGATATCGTGTGAGTCGAGTTGGGGTCATGAGTAAGGCGAGTGTCTGGTGAGATCGTGTGAGTCGAGTTGGGGTCATGAGTAAGGCGATTTGGGTCCGGCCTGCGAGCAGGAGCTGTGTGGGGTGGACGGCGGCCCGCGTGTGCCGTCTCTGCACGGTTCTCCGTGGCCAATGCATTGCAAGAGAGACGACAGCTGTGTTACTTTCGAGTGACTCTCGAGTGCCGGTTCACATCGTTAGGCTTCAAGTGAATTAGGCCGACCTGTCCAAGCTAAATTAATCTTATTCATGACCACCAGTTCGGTTGTTGTTGTGGTGGTTGTTGTGCTTGTTGTTGTTGTTGTTGACCGTAACAAAATTCCCGCTCGTGCCGCTCCGCTCGGACCTCACCCCACGCAGTCGCTCTCCGTCGACTCCTCCTCTCTCTCTCTCTTTTTATGTTCCGCACTGGCGAGGCGGCAGGGGAGGGGGGGCAGGGCGGTCATATCTCTGGCTGCTCCCCCCTCTCTGCTGCGCGCGGTGGTTTCCCATCCGAGCAGCATGCAGGCTCAGCCCTGCTTAGCTTCCGGGATGTGATGAGAACGGGCGCGTGTCGGGAGGGGTCAATTGTCTATTGCCCCCCCTACCCCCCACCGCCTTCAGTGGGGCCAAATCCATGAGTTGGAACGACTGCGAGCGCCTCCCTGGCCGCGGAGCCAGCGGACGCGCAGAAGCGATGACGGTGGGGAGGCTCTAGGGGGCGCTGTTGTACAGAAGCGCGCGGTCGGTGGCGCGCCTGCCTCTGATTTAAATGAAATCACGCGCAAGAGATATCGGCCTGGAGAGCCTTCCTCGTGTAAGACGAACACGCTTGTTGTGAGCGCACGAGGAGCTGTCGCCTAGGTCGACTCAGCCACAGGGTACTCACTCTGTGGCTGAGTCGACCGAGGTAGGGGTGGCCCACGACTACTTCGGGTAGATACCATTGGCGAGTGACCCAACTCGAAGTGGAGAATCGACCGTTCGGCCTGCGAGACGACCCCCTCCCTGTTGCTGGCGTCATCACTTGATCGGGTCATGACTGCGTGCGTGCGTGTGTGGATAATGTTGGTGATGATGATGACGGTGGTGTGCTTCGGTATGTGGCCCGAAACGCGTGGTTGAGGTTGAACGTCTCTTTTCGTCCACATTTGAACGTAAAGTCTGCACGAGATTCCATTACCATCAACGAAAACAAACCGCCAGCGAGGCCCATACGTTTCAAAGTGTGAATGAGGCCCGGGGAAGTGAGCTACACACACAAAAACAAACAAACACAGGCAACACACCGCTCCTTGGTGTCGAACTTTGACCACGCCGGGAACCCCGTGGAGGGACACGCCGTGAGTGTAGCCCGGTGCGTAGCGCGCGCCTGCGGGAACGCCGAGTTTTGGGAAGGGGAAAATATCTCCGCGGATTTTAGATTATTTTTTTTGTTCGGCCGCGTTTTCCCGTCAAATATCGGCGGCGGAAACAAAAAAAAAATAATTCTCAGTTTCCCTCCCCCCCCCCCCACACGTGAGGAGGGAGGGGGGGGGGGGGGCTCGCATCGCTCGCTCCCGTCACGCCGAGGTAGAGTTGGTGTCGAGGTCGCGCGAAGTGGCGACCGCGATAAACAGTGGGTCAATGATTCCGTGTCCCAGTGTCACGATGCGTCGCCGCATCGCGGTACACGGTACTTCCTTTGTTTCTTCCCCTACTTCCATAGAGAGAGAGAGAGAGATAGCAGCTTTTTTTTGTAAATCTACAGTCTACGATACTCTATAGCAGCATCACGTAAGTGTGGCGTACGCTCTTACATAGCGTACGATTTCAAAATCCCAAACATCTGCATCGCCAAAAGCTGGTGATGTATTTGCGTATATACTATATATAGTGTGCGTACGTGCTGTTATCGTAAGTTATCGTCCCCAATTATCGTAATCGTGTCAAGTTACGTTTCAGTGGCTACTTAATACCGATGGGATATGATTGCCGGGCTCACATTTGTCTTCTCACCTCTGACCGGTGGGCTAAGATAATTTTCTGATATTTTTTTTGCGTTCAGATTACGAATTAAGTATTGGGCTTTCATTTTAATCGGTGCTCTCAACATCTCTTTGGGGACCCATCACTCGCCAAACCCAACTCTTGGCTCGAGGTGACCGCGCGTGGTTCACTGATCGGGCCACGTGGGGGCCCCGCTGTGAGAAGTTGTGTTCCCGTCGCCATAAAATCGAGCGGGGGGGGGGGGGCATGCGCGATCTGGAGGATTGCACTGCTTGTTCACACGCCGATGAATCCGTCTCCTCGATCGGGTTTGTTTGGCACATCCCAGGGCTTCCAAAATCCTCCCCCTACCACCCTATCCTCACTGCCCAAAGCACAGTGCGTGCATGTCGCCACGTTGACCAATCATCAGGCGCGTGTAGCGTGCACGTGCGTCGGTATTCGGTACGCACGGAAAACCACACTGCGGTGGGTAGCGAGGACTTAGTTCAGAATTTGGGAAACCCTGGCATAGATCCTGGTTGAATGGACCGATAAACGTGGGGTGGGGGGGGGGGGCGTGGGAGGTGATGGGCGGGGTGGGGGGGACTTCTCTACTGGGAGCTTTTGCCAGATTTTGGATGATGGGCGCCTGACGCTCCTCGGCGTCCTCCGTCTTTACCTCCCTCCTTACCCACCTCCCTTCCACCATCCCTGCTTCCCTCTTTCCCCCCCTCCTTGCCCCCCTCCCTGCCCCCCTCGCTCGCCTCTCCCGGAGCAGGCTTGCCCGGGTGTTGTCGTCGCGGGGCGCTGCCCCCCAGCATCTGCGCCAGGGCGGAGGCGTGCGCCTTGCCGAGTCGCGCCGAGAGGGCGCGGCGCACGGCGGCCGAGGTGGCGTTGTCGCACGAGAACAGCGCCCGGAGCAGCTCCAGGTAGGGGCTGCGAGGGGTGGGGAAAGAGGGCCAAGCATCACCGCGTGCACCCACCATTCACAACCACACCGTGCCTCCCACCACTCACAACCACACCGTGCATCCCACCACTCACAACCACACCGTGCATCCCACCACTCACAACCACACCGTGCATCCCACCACTCACAACCACACCGTGCATCCCACCACTCATAATCACACCGTGCACCCCACCACTCACAACCACACCGTGCACCCCACCACTCACAATCACACCGTGCGCCACACCACTCACAACCACACCGTGCACCCCACCACTCACAATCACACCGTGCACCACACCACTCACAACCACACCGTGCACCCCACCACTCACAACCACACCGTGCATCCCACCACTCACAACCACACCGTGCATCCCACCACTCACAACCACACCGTGCACCCACCACTCACAACCACACCGTGCACCACACCACTCACAACCACACCGTGCACCACACCACTCACAACCACACCGTGCATCCCACCACTCACAACCACACCGTGCATCCCACCACTCATAATCACACCGTGCACCCCACCACTCACAATCACACCGTGCACCACACCACTCACAACCACACCGTGCACCACACCACTCACAACCACACCGTGCACCCCACCACTCACAACCACACCGTGCACCACACCACTCACAACCACACCGTGCATCCCACCACTCATTATCACACCGTGCATCCCACCACTCACAACCACACCGTGAATCCCACCACTCACAACCACACCGTGCATCCCACCACTCACAACCACACCGTGCACCACACCACTCACAACCACACCGTGCACCCACCACTCACAACCACACCGTGCATCCCACCACTCACAACCACACCGTGCATCCCACCACTCATAATCACACCGTGTACCCACCACTCACAACCACACCGTGCACCACACCACTCACAATCACACCGTGCATCCCACCACTCATAATCACACCGTGCATCCCACCACTCACAACCACACCGTGCATCCCACCACTCATAATCACACCCCCCGCGCCCCACGGCCTTCATGCTCTGGGTTAATTTACCCGCTTCATTGACTCCCTTACCAACAGAACCCTTTGGTGGTTTTTGACTCCCTCACAATCTATGGACCGCGGCATGGCGTTCAAACATTGCACGGATGTATTCGCTCATGTCTACACGAATATAAACACTGGTTAATCGGCCATTAACATCGCAATAAATAAAGTACGGCAGAGGTCTGGAGGGTGATATGTGGCGCCGACCCACTCACTGCCTGGCTACCTTCCCGATTGTCTGTGATCACTCTGATTCGTTCTCTCTCTCTCTCTCTGTGTATGTGTCGCTTCGAGAGAGCGATTGCCAACATTGCAATTGTATATTCACGATCCAACCACAAGCAGAAGATAAAAGACAGTTCCACTGCCCGCGACTGCGGAGCGGAGCGAGCAATGGGCAGGCACGGGTCACCTGCTGACCGCCCGCCAGGGCACCGCCAGAGGCATCCGCCCAGCAGCTCACAGCCAGCGCCGTCGCACGGCTACAAGAACCTGCCCATCGACGTGTCGCCTGCGTCGCTCTTCCACAAATCGTTGGCATCGCTCAGCAACGTGCCGACACGGAGGAAGAGAAGAAGACGTGCAGCGTGTTCTGCCTCCCCCCCCCCCATCTCTACTCCCTTGACACCCCCCCCCCCCCAGGCTCCTCTCCCCAGGGTCCACTTACCCCTTGGGGAGCGCGGTGGGGTGCGGCACGGACAGGGCCATGGCCTCGGCGTTGGGCTTCGCGGCGGCGCACAGCTCGTGTCTGTGGTAGCACTCCCGTTGCAGCTGCAGGGCCAGGTCGCTCAGCGCCGAGCACTTGCGCTGGTTGCAGTTGAAGCGGCCGCGCAGCCCTTGAGCCATGCACTTCAGAGCCTCCTTGATGAAAGACTTCCCCTGCGTTGACGGAGGGGTGGGGCGTGGTGGGGTGGCGAGGGGTTGAGACGAGCACTCAGGCAAGCGTTCATTTCATTGTTCAAAATATCAATCGGTATCCGAATGTTTATTCATGCTGCAGGAGAAATCCGATGAGCTTTGAAGGTCTATTTCACAGACGTCCAGTCGCAGCGGGTCAGAAAGCCACAACAACAAACAATACAAAAAAACGTTTGGAAGGTAAACAAATCACTAAAAATAAAAACGTTAATAAAATAAAGTACATAAGTCCAAATTGCAAAGGTCTATCAATTTCTTCCGGTTTTTCAACAATAAATGCTAGCTTGGACAAGGCAGCAAAACAACAACAACAACAACAGTTCCAGACCACAGCGAGACAACAACACACAGTCAGTCCCTCAATAACATTACACGTAGTGGCATACATACACGTAAAGGGATACAAGTATGTGTGTTGAACTTCTTTCGCACCGAACGTAGCCAACCGTGCTAACCGGCGGTGTGTAAAAGGCGACGTTTTTGGCGCATGGCGCTTCTTCGTCAAACAATATTATCAGTTGATCAACTATTCAAGAGCATCATCAGCTATGGTCAATCCACTGCTGGACGAATTCCTCCCCAAGCAGCCACCACCCAGCACCGGACGGTACACGATGCATTTGAGTGAATGAGTTGAAATTGCTAACCCCCCCCCTCCCCCCGCCCCTCCACGCCTATTGCCGATCCAGGAATCACGAATGAAACGAGCGACGTCGGGAATGAGTCGAGGCACATATATCACACCCCACCCACCCCGCGCCTATCCCCGAGACGGGCTGCGGGGTGGCGATGGATGCGCATAGAGCTGCTGCTGCTGCTGCCAACTCGCGCTATGAGAGCGGCTGGGTTCGGGTTTCACTCGGGAAATAGTTTTGCGAGATACAAAAAAAAAACCTCTAAACATCCCAACACACACGCTCACACACACACCTCTTTGGGCATCGCGGCAACGATTACGGCTCTATCACTGCAGAATGGTGGCCTCCACGATCGTCGTATTGGTCCACGGGGGTCGTATTGATCCATGAGCGTCTTATCGATTCATCATCGGTTAGTCGATGTGACCTAAGTCGCGCTGGCAAAGGAGTCGCGCGATCCCGACCGCTGCGTCACGGTCCGGATTAGAGAGACTCGCATGCGGGAGGCAGGAGGGCATTTCTGCAGCCCGGAGTGCAATGTATTTGGCTGTGAGTGTTATATGCTGGCTGTGATATGTGTTGGCTGTCTATACTATGTGTTGGCTGGGTGTTTTATGCTGATTCTGCTATGTGTTGACTGTGTGTGTATTTTATGCTGGCTGTGATATGTGTTGGCTGGGTGCGTTTCACGTTAGCCGGTTGTGCTATTTGGCTCCGTGCTCTGTGTTGACCGTGCCGTGCGGTCATAGGTGGGAGGAACGGGGGAGGCAGGGGGTGAGCGTGGGGGGGTGCGGGAAGGTCTGTTTCCGTGTTTTCCAAATCAGCGAAACGTTTCAGCAACCCACACCAGAGCGCAACACGCCTTGTTCGCGGGGGTGCCTGCGTGACCTGGAGCGGGCTGGAGTGGCGTCATTTTCCGCACGGGGGTCTTCAACATAAAGGGGTCAGCCGCGCCGTCCACATGGGGTCAAGAGCAGGGACTCCGCTCGCTCAAATTGCGTGGCTCCGAGGGCACCCGGGTTCAATCGCTCGGCAGCCCGCGTCGCGCGAGCTTCGCTACGGATCGAAACAACGACGCTCGCCAAGGTTGACCGCTGATGGGGGCCTACGTGGGCAGCCACGGGGAACGCCGTGGGATATTCTCGCTGGCCGCCAGAGCTGCAGCGATGAGCGGTGCAGTGAGTCGATGGGTGGACGATCGCGGAGGAGTGGCCGGGCGACTCGATGGGCGCACAGTCGATGGGTGACCGCGTAACTCGGTGGGTCCCTGTGAAGGGACGCGCTTAGTCCCCGTGCCTGCGGAGACTACCCAATGCTCGGGAGTGGCGGGGACTACGGATGAGGTTGGGGTGGGGGAGAGAGGGAGGTCGTGGGGGGGCCGCGCGGGGAGGGTGAGGTGTGGGGGGTAGTACCTGCACGTCGTACATGTCCGCGTGTCGCACCAGCTCGGCGCACAGCGCCTGTAGGCCGGGGCTGTCACACGTGGTGTTCTCCAGGCACGCGAAGGCGCCGCACCCCGCGTCCGCGGCCGCCACCAGACACTGGCCAACCTCCACTGCCGGGGGTCACGGGGTCACGACGTCGCGTGGACACGGCACAGCGAGAGGCAACATTAGCTGTGGGTAGAGCGATAACAGCGCAGGGACAAGGGGACCCCTCCCGTTGTGGGGGCATGTGGGGAGGTGGAGGGTGGTGTAACGGGAGGGGAGTGTTGTGATCCGACGCCTTTGGAGGCGAAGGTTGGTGGTTTGCGTCGACATTTGTGAAATGCGCAGAGCTGTTTGGGGCTGCGAAGTGGCCAGAAAATGAGAGTGCAGTACAGCAAGTCGGCTCGGGAACCGACCTTGCGGAATCTTGTACGAAGTCCCATCCCAGGTAATGCCGGGTACGCCGTGCCCCTCTCGAATTCCTTAAACAAAGCCTCAAGACCCAGCGAGGATTTTTATAGATGAATGCACGTTACGTGACGATTACTCTTCCTCGGTAGAGGGGGGAGCGAGTGGATGGGGATTGGTGGGTTCCGCTCCCCCAACCCCGTTCTCCCCCCCCCCCCACCCCCCGGCGGCGTTGTAGTGGTTCACATCTCACAGGGTAGGCGTCGTCTGTCAGTGCGGGCTGTAAGTGGCGCGTTGCGTGATGTAACTGATGATTGTTATGTATTCGGTCGTCCTGTAGAGGCTTGCAAGTTGTGATTATGTAATGGGTGATGTCCAGCCCTGGGCATTATCAGGGCTCAGAGCGCAGAACGGCCGCGTCGCGACACTGCCCGTGGTGACCGAATGAGGCTCACGACTCCCACACAGCACTCCCACACAGCACTCCCACACAGCACTCCCACACAGCACTCCCACACAGCACTCCCACACAGCACTCCCACACAGCACTCTCGCACAGCACTCCCACACAGCACTCCCACACAGCACTCCCACACAGCACTCCCACACAGCACTCCCACACAGCACTCCCACACAGCACTCCCACACAGCACTCCCACACAGCATTCCCACACAGCACTCCCACACAGCACTCCCACACAGCACTCCCACACAGCACTCCCACACAGCACTCTGGCACAGCACTCCCACACAGCACTCCCACACAGCACTCCCACACAGCACTCTCGCACAGCACTCCCACACAGCACTCCCACACAGCACTCCCACACAGCACTCTCGCACAGCACTCCCACACAGCACTCCCACACAGCACTCCCACACAGCACTCCCGCACAGCACTCCCACACAGCACTCCCACACAGCACTCCCACACAGCACTCTGGCACAGCACTCCCACACAGCACTCCCACACAGCACTCCCACACAGCACTCTCGCACAGCACTCCCACACAGCACTCCCACACAGCACTCCCACACAGCACTCTCGCACAGCACTCCCACACAGCACTCCCACACAGCACTCCCACACAGCACTCCCGCACAGCACTCCCACACAGCACTCCCACACAGCATTCCCACACAGCACTCCCACACAGCATTCCCACACAGCACTCCCACACAGCGTTCCCAATCAGCACTCTCGCACAGCATTCCCACACACACAGCACTCGCACATAATTCACGCACGCTAGCAACTCAGAATTCACAACCAAAGATGCCCAAAACGGAGGAGGGTGGTAAAAGGGGGTATTTTCGCCGAACCTCACACGAAAGAGGGCCTCATACCGAACCTGTGGATGGTGGAATAAGGGGACTCCACGTGGCATTCTGCCACGCAGCCTCCACGACCCTGTGGACGTCCCCGTTCACATCGCCCACACACAACGCCCGCACTCGTCTCTCACACGGGTTTCACGCGGCACTCTCAGTGAACACGTGGGTGCACGCGGCATTCACGCGGCCTTGCCCCGCGCAGCGCTTAGCGCTCGCCACTCGCGCAGCTAGCTCAGACGCAGCGCGCTGCAAAAAGAGACCGCGCCAACACCACGCGACACTCCCTGTCGTGCTAGAGGACGATCGTCCTCAAACCCCTCACACCGACGACGCGAGCTCGAGCCCAACTCGCTTCGTCGCGACATCGGTAGCGTGGCATCCCATCCCCGTGGGGCGCGCGGGTGGTGGTGGCACGGCCGCGCGGGTCCTCGCCGCTTCCTGCGCGCCGCTCGTCTCTCGCGTGCCTCTGTTGAGTTTTCTTTCCACCTCTCTGCCTCCCCAGCGGAGACCCCGGCCACGGCCCCCAGAAGCAGCCTCCCCCACCCACCGTCCCACTCACCGCCCCCACCACCAACCCACCCCCCCCCCCCCCCTTATCACCACCCCGCGTCTTCGCTGAAAAGCTTCGCGCAGATAATTGGGGCTCCTCGCCATGGCAACGTCCAAACGTTTTTTTTGACAGAGAAATAACAAGGGCGAGGGGGCTACGTGCTGCGGGCGTCCCACGCTCTCTTTGTTTTGAATCGTGTTTTGCCTTGAGAGCCGCCTCGTCAACTCTAATTGAGCGATAAGACGAGCTCCCTACGCACCCCTCCCGCACCCACCCATCCCGGGACTACAGCTCTGTTGTAAAGTTCAGATAAACGCGAAAGTTGAATCGGAGGGCGCGCGATGTTGAGAACACGCCGGCCTTCCTGCTTAGCTAATTGACTAGATAAACGCGAAAGTTGAATCGGAGGGCGCGCGATGTTGAGAACACGCCGGCCTTCCTGCTTAGCTAATTGACCTCTGTCGTGCAGGCGTTTCTGAGATGGAGGTTATTTTTCCCTCCGCGTTTGCTTCTTGTTCCCTCCACCCCACCCCTGTCCTTCGTTTTGCGTGAGCCCGTTGTTGTTTGTTATGGGGGGGGGGGGTGTCTAGTTGGGGGGGGGGCGCGTGACAACCACAGGAAACAAAACTCATCGGCAGCTCCCCCCCCCCATCTCCTTCCCGACCCCCCCCCCCGTGCCCCCCGTCCCACCCAAAGCACGCTGCTGCGTGTCTTGAGAGAACATTGTTTATGGAATAAGGAGGGTATTTGGGGGGGGGGGGGAGCGGGGGGTTCTTAAAAAACACAGAATTGGTTTTGGAAACCTCTTCCTGCGTTTCCCAAAAGCGACCGCGTATCCACGGCGAAAGGACAAAGCAAGTTAGCTCCTCGCTGCGAGCTGGGTGCTACAGGTTGTAACTCGAACGTGCCCAGCCCCCTCAATGTTCTTTCTGTGTGGTGGGGGGGGGGGGGCACCAGCCGCACCGAGGGGTTCTGGGAGGCCGGAGGCAAAATGCCACGTGGGCTCCGTGGTGGGATCCTCTTTTTTTGTGTGATGCCGAGGACAAATTACCTCTTTCGCTCCCTCCCTACCTCTTCCTCTAGACGACCCTGGAAATAACCGCGACATTGCTCAATCACCGCTGATGATTAGACCCAATTGGTTAAACCAAGTGGAATCAAACCGTGTTTGTGAAATCAAAGTCCACGAGACTGTCTTGACAAGGGGAGCTTCAACCAGAGCTTATTAAAGTGGTGTTTATTAGACCGGCCCACGACTAAATCGCCCAGAAACATTGCTGGCGATTTAAATCCCGTGGCCCGGGCGGGTGCGGAGAGGCCTTCATCCAGCAGTGGAGTGACAACGGGCGATATGTGTGCGCGGTGAGTCCAGAGCCAATGGCACGAGAGTTGATGAGGCTTGGCTTCACGAGGCAAGGATTCACGACACTCGGATTGAATAGGTCAAGGGGTGAAGGTAAAGGGGCATCCCTGAAATTGCTCGCTCATGTCACTGATGAAGGGAGGGCCTCCACTGGCTAGAGGAGAGCTCCACAGGGTATTTGGTCTACTCTTTCATGCTGGGGGAGGCGTCTTGGCAGAGGGACGTTTGAATAGACCAGGTTTACATTAGAAGCGAGATGCTCAATCCCGTATGTTGTCTCTGTATTTATACCATGGGCAACACGGCCTCCTGTGGGTTGTGATTGTCCGTGGCATTGGTTTAATGCAAACAAACTGTGAACCGGTTTCAACATTCAGCCCAGTCAGGCTTGCTTCAACCATCTGGCTGGTGGACAGCCAGATAGTTCATAGACAAAAACGCCCCGTGTCGGATACGAACTCGAGTGAGACGCAAACCCATGTAACACTTTAACATCTGTGAATAATGATACACCCCATCTCATCGGAATCGTGTATGCAGGCTGGGCGAACAACGCTTTTATTAATATAACGACACAATGGCCACACTTCCAGTTCTTGTGCGCTAGTGGTCTTGCTTAGGCTGAAGACTCTTGTACCTGCAATGCGGCACACCTCTGCGTGTTGTTACAGCCATATGATACGTAACACCACGTCACAATCAAATGCCCCCCCCCCCCCCCCCCGCGACGCATTTCTCACAAGCGATTCGATTAAAATCCACCTGCTGCTCACCCTCCACCACCCCCACCACCCCTCACTCCGTCCCATGGCTCGTGGTTCAGAAAGCGCCGTGCTGTGGGGAAAACGCGGCCTCGTGGTGGAGGGGGAGAGCGTCAGGGAGATCGTGAGTTAGCGCGATGGGATGAAGAAGTGAGCGCAAGGAGAGGGAGAAGAGAGGAGGGAGGAGGAGGGGAAAGGAGAGGCGAAGAGAAGAAGAAGAGAGCGCGAGGAGAGCAAAGAGAGAGCGTGAAGAGGAGGAGTGTGAAGAGAGCGTGGAGAGTAAGTGGAGAGCATGGGGAGAGTTCAAAGTTGACATCAGAAACCAGGAGCGCGGCATCATCCATCCGCATGTCGAGAGAATGCATTCGTGGAGCTTCTAGGCGTGAGCTGTGCGCTGTCTACGTCATGGTCACGCTGGGGCCGGTGAACGGATCGCTCGCTGCACCGTGCTCCGATCCCTCTGGCTGGTGGCCACCGATTTGGTTGCGTGCGGTCGGTGAGAGACGAATCGATCCAGGCAGGCAGAGAGCACGTGTCTGTCCGTGGGTAGCTTGCAGTGCCAAAGTTTCTCTTTAAGCGCGAGGTGGGTCCGACGGTGCGGAACGCCTTGGGCGCGTCTCTTGGGAGGCACCTAACGCATTTGTTGAGCCCCAGCGCTTTGCCAAGAGTCTGTGATATTTATAGGCGCGCATGTGGTGCTGCCAGTGTCGGCTTTAAAACTGAACTCGTCCTGATGGACTGACCTAGATATGATCAGCAGAATGCAGTCTCGGACGACGGATCGCGAGATGACCGCTGTAACGGATATCGGCCTGAGATCTGCTGGTCCCGTAATAGGCGCCAGTTTTTGGAATTGGAGTCACCAAGCGCACGCTGCCCCACGTGGTGATGCCACCACCGCCGCCGCTGCTGCTGCTGTACTTGACGAGTTCGCCTCGGACACCGCTCGAGTCCGCGTGAGGCGCATTCCTTACGAAGCCCCCCACGCGGGATCGAGTCGCCCGCTCCCGTCGCAGCGTTGGCTCAGTGGTGAGCGAGGCGAGTCGGTGAGAGAGGCGAGTCGGTGAGGGGGGTGAGTCGGTGAGGGGGGCGAGTCGGTGAGGGGGGTGAGTCGGTGAGGGGGGCGAGTCGGTGAGGGGGGCGAGTCGGTGAGGGAGGCGAGTCGGTGAGGGGGGTGAGTCGGTGAGGGGGGGCGAGTCGGTGAGGGAGGCGAGTCGGTGAGGGGGGCGAGTCGGTGAGGGGGGCGAGTCGGTGAGGGGGGCGAGTCGGTGAGGGGGGTGAGTCGGTGAGGGGGGCGAGTCGGGGGGCGAGTCGGTGAGGGGGGCGAGTCGGTGAGGGAGGCGAGTCGGTGAGGGGGGTGAGTCGGTGAGGGGGGCGAGTCGGTGAGGGGGGGTGAGTCGGTGAGGGGGGCGAGTCGGTGAGCGAGGCGAGTCGGTGAGGGGGGCGAGTCGGTGAGTGAGGCGAGTCGGTGAGGGGGGTGAGTCGGTGAGGGGGGCGAGTCGGGGGGCGAGTCGGTGAGGGGGGCGAGTCGGTGAGGGGGGCGAGTCGGTGAGGGGGGCGAGTCGGTGAGGGAGCCTCGACACTGCCCACAGACTCGGCACTGTCCCTGTAAATGAACCTCCTTCCGCCGCTCTCTTCAAGCCTCTCCTGTTCTCCATCGCCCATTCCCTCCCTCTTCCCTCCCCTCGCCCCTCCACTCCTTCCCGTCCCTCCCCGACCCTTCCCTACATACCCTCTATCGCTGTCATTCATTCCTCAATCTTTGTACGCCAGTGTCAACTACTACATCATTGCATTCTGTCAGCGTTGTGTGAGCTATGTTAAGCCCCTTGAGTGAATGCGCTCTCGATACATATACAATTAGATGAGATTAAAAAACACGTGGTTATCACCCTGCGATTCGTTATCCGTGGAACCACAATTGTCTGCGCGTTCCAACAGAAGGCCACGCATCGCCAGGGCACCTGCTTCGTGGGGGGACCTTGGTGAGCACATTGGCTGCGATGGTTGCGAGCGATGGTGAGCAGCTGCTCGCTTGATGCGGTGGCTAGGAGATGTTAACTACCTCGCCTGCTATTCAAGAGGTCGCGGGTTCGATCCCGACCCTGACGCCCGCTGTATGTTTGGAGTTTGCGGTGTCTCTCTTCCCATGGTCGCGTGGATTTTTCTCTGGGTCATCCGCCCCCCCCCCCCCCAACATTTCGAAACACGCGTTTAGAGTATTTGGCTGCTGTCAACTTCCACGCGATGAGCCACTTCGTTGAGCTACCATTTGTCGCCAGGTCGCTTCTGATAAAAAAAAATAAAGAGCTACAGAGTTCAGGTGGGCCTTACCTGGTAAAAATTTAAACATGTTAATCGTTAAGTAGACTCGCGCTGCAAGGCCGTCGTCTGTCTGCGCTGAGCCGCTCGCCCACCCCGTGCCGCGTGTCGCCTCGTCCCTCCGGAGCAGCTGCTCCACGGATCCCGCGCTCACGGTGCGGCTGCGGCTCGGCTGTGTGTGGACGCATCGGCGACGTGCCGCGATGCGCAGAGTCAACCTCGATGGGGTTATTTTTTTCGTCAATTTGTAGAACGACTCGGCGCATCCTACTGCGATGGGATCGATGATTTTATTGCGAGCGGTATCAGTATTGGCTGCAGTGGGTGGATAGGGGGAAGGTGGGAGGGGGTAATGCAGTTCCTTGCTGAGACACCTCGCAAGCCACACGCGGGCAGACAGCAGCCCCTGGGGGTGCCCCTTCTCCCACGTGCTGAGATGAGATGCGAAGTGTAGCGCTCTGAGACGCCCGGCGCATAGGAGGCGCAGCGATTCTATCAACCGCAATCGTCGCCACTCTCGTCGACGATGGTGATACTTTTAGACGCCGCGACCAGCAGCACCAGCAGCGGCAGCCGTCACCGCGAGCTGCACGGCGTCGGGCCAGACCCTGGCACAGGCCTCTGTCATGAGCTGCGGCTGCCGCGTCAGTCGCTGATTGTCCGCTGGGGGCGCTAGGCCCTCGCCATCCGTCGTGTCGCCGTGGTGAAGAGAGGGCGAGCTTCGAACGGACGTGGAGACGCGGTTGTGGCCGGGTCCGCGGGTTTAAGGGCATTACACTATCGCTGGGATTGTCACGCGCCTAGCGAGCAGTTGGTGAGGAGCGTTGTCAGTTAAGGGATGTGTTAGTCAGGAGTTAATGTTAACGAGTCCGTTCGGAGTGTTAGTGAGGGAGTGTTCGAGAACGAGTGTGAGAACTGGCCCCGGGTATCTTTAGAGGCGCGACCTGACCCCGTGACCCCGCACACAGCGCGTGATGCGCACGCGCATTCCGCGTCCCCCCATCCCTCCCCCTCCATCACCACCACACGCACGCGCGCCCCGTGATGGGCGTGCACGCGCTCCACTTAGCCCGTCATCATCATCACCACCACCACCATCACGAGCCATGCTATATCCACTGCTGGATGAAAGTATCCCCATGCCATCGCTGTTCGTCATCACAAGCCGTGTTACTCCCTCTGCCATTCCGCCACAAGTCTCGCCCATTGACCATTCACTGTCCCTTCCAGCGATGTTCAGAAGACCCACTGAGCCCACCCCGTCCCGAAAACCATCACTCCACCGAACTAACGTCACAAAATAACCCAAATGACACCCATTATCTTTAACCAGATAAACACGAAATTGAGGTTGTTTCTATCGCCACTCATCCCCTATCCTCACGTCGCCTACCGCCCCCCACCTCCCACGAGGTTCGTGACGATAAGACCCCCCCCCCTACTCCTGTACACTCCCTCGCCCAGGGCGCGTGGCGCACGTGGGATCGTTCACTTAGGAGGGCACTGGCGAAGCGGAGGGTAAACTGCAGGGGACGAAGAATGACCTCGCCCCGGCGGCGTAAAACACCAACCCCACCACCGGCACCCGACGCCTCTCACATAGCAGAGTTTCTCACTTGCACGTGGCAGGTGCCCATCTCAGTTGGTTTAACTTAAGCCTCTAGCTTCCACACGCGTGGTCCCGCTATCCCCGGGGGGTTAGAGGAGCGCGCGGGGGTGGGGTGGGGGGAGCAGTGATTTTGACTGGTTCCCTGCCATACACTACAATGTAGAGAGCCACTCACCATAAGCCCCATTAGACTGGACGCTACAAATTCCTTTAGCGGGGGCCAATCCTTCCACAGGAACCACGTGCATGGGGGGGAGGATTCTGAGTGAGCGAGTGTCACGGAATGGAATATCACCCGCAGCTCTTTGTGTGAATCCATCACTCGGTTCGCTCGTGTGGTTATGACAGCTCGGCTCGGTATTTGCATGTCCCACTGGCGGTGCGGGAATTCCCACGGCTAACCTGGGCTCTGTTTACATTCCGCACATCCACACAATTGTACAGATGGGAAGGTGATGCAATACCTCCACGGTGACTTGAGCAAGCGTCTCCTGTATCCCATGTACGTTCCTAAGCCCCCGTTAATATTTTCAGCGAGTCTACAGCCAGTACTCCGTTAGGTTGTGTTTGGCTATGCCCGGATGTAATAATGTCCGCCCCTCCGATTTCCCGACGACACGTGCTTTTTTTTTACGAATACAAACAAAAAAACCTCCTCTGCCAATTGCTCGGACACTCAACACACAGCCCACTAACACCACTGCCCAGCTCTGCGTAGTTCTGGGGCGAGATTGGCGACCACATGATTAAAAAAAACACACACATTTTTTGTAAATTCTATACGTTATGTATGAATGAAGAAAACACGTAACGTGACGACGCCTGCCAGCGAGATGAGCGCGCGTGCTTTAGAACGCGCGCGTGCGTGGGAGTGAGCGCGGCTTCCCAGCTCGTTAAACACCGCAGTTGCGGACTTCAAGAGTTTAAACGCAAACGGAGGTCGGCGCCGAACGCGTGAACGCGGGGCGCGCCTCCGCCGCGGCACCTGTCGGCGTTCTCGCGATCAACCATCGCCCTCGACTCGTGCCTCCGAGAATCGTGACATCGCTGCTGCCTCACACTCACACGCGAGTGCGGGTTCCCGAGGGATACAAGTGGTGGCTGAATGTCGACATGAGCGGCGGCTGGGGGGTTGGGGGGTGGTGGCAAGAGTCTATGAAGCTCGATGTGTGGGGATGGACGAGTGAGCGTGCGTCGCGTCGAATGAATGTTTGTTGAGCGTGGATCGAGTGCGGTGCGAGCGGGGTGGGGTTGGGGTTACCTGCGCCCTGCATGGAGAGACGCGTCTTGGGGAGGCTGCCCGCACCGCCGTCTTTCTCTGCCGCTCCGTCCGTCGGGTGCGCGGTGACCGGCGAAGGCGCCGTGGCGTGAAGACAGGCGACGAGCAGCAGCAAGAGCCGGGCACGGGATGCAAACCCCATGGTTGCTTTTCTCCGCTCGGAAGGCGTCCCGCGACGTGAGAGTCTCGCACTGCGCGCTCAACACTCGCGGCCGCCACTCAAAAGCTCAAACGCCTCGGAACGAAAAGGACTGCGGCGAGCAGGTGGGCCCCGCTTTTATACCGCGGCTCCCGGGGTGGTGAGCCCCCGACCATGGCCAAGTTTGACCACTCAGAGTGAAGAGAGAGCGGGGCGACGGCCCGCCCCTCCGCGACACCCCCCCCCTCCACATCCCCATCTCGGTCCACTTCCACCACCCCCCCCACCACCACCACACCGCCTCCGTGTGCCCCACCCCCCACCAGCACCATCACCAAACACCCGGAGCACGCTCACCGTCTCTCCTGTTGGCGCTGGCTGTCGCGTAAGAGCCGCGCACTGCAGATGAGGCGCGGGGTGTCCGCCGCGGCCGTGCGGCTGTGGGGCCGCAGCGCCGTCTTCGCAGAGAGAGAGCGAGGGGCCGCGACGCCGTCGAGACTGCTACAGATAGATGCAGCCTCTTTGCGGGGAGGGGTAAGAAGAGTCGGGCGGCGGGAGGGAGGAGGGAGGTAACGCAACAGTGGAGAATCTCCCTGCTCCCTCCCCTCCGTCCCACCTGCCCTCCACGGCCGACCTGACATGCGCGGCTCCGGTTTACCTTGGCGAGACGCGACACCGCGCGGGCGACTCAATGAATGAACGCGTGAAGCGAGGAGCTCGGACGTGGATTTACCAACCCACACGCGGGCAGCAGCAGCTGATCACGATCCTGGCGGTGATGATAATAAAAAACACCCATGAAAACGTTTAGAGACTTATACATCATGATGATGATGATCACAATCTTCATCACGATCGTCGTCGTCATCAATATTATTAGATGTTGCTGCTGCCCGGAGTAAGACGATCTTCCTTCCGTGGGATATAAATAGCGGCGCGCGGGGCGTCCTGCTCACTGCTCTCTGCGCCAGGGCCCCCCGCGGTACGAATTTGCGGGGCCTCTCGAACATCGCCCGGATCTGCGAGCCCATGGGATCCGACTCCTTGCTCAGGGGGGGGTGCGGGGCGTTGGATAAATGGGGCTGGGCGGGGGTCTTAGTGCTCAGGCAGGATCCGCGTGCCGCCTGGGATCGGTTTACTCCCAGCCTGTCCACACGCACGCGGGGCCCCTGGACTCCCAGATTCTGCCACCCCCCCCCCCCCCCCATGGGATTGAGAAGCAGGAGGAGGAGGGAGTGTGACCCTGGGGGGGGAGGGGGGGAGATGCACGGCGAGGCCCTCAGCACCGTAGTCCTGTGGACGCTAGACGTGACGAATGAACACACCGCTCAAAGAGTGCTAGGGTAGAGCACGCGAATTTGGGGATAAGTTTAGGGCTGCCGATAGGGTCCAGTAGACTGGAGTGGATACTGTGAGAGGTAGGAATAGGGTTTGGTGGGTTAGTGTGGATTGGGTGAGAGGCAAGCATAGGGTTTGGTGGGTTAGTGTGAATGAGGTCATTGTGCATATCTCTTCATTGATAACTCAACATTGCCCGCATGTGCCCTATCTTAAAATGTCCTGAGGCTTCTTAGTTTCTTCAAGGCAAATTACCGTGAAGTTCCGTCGCCGCCTCCAAGTCAGTAAATATTTCCACCTTCTCAGTACTGACTTAGGGCCACTGCCAGAAACGTTAGCCTGTCACATAGGTGTACGCGGTGAGCCAGTGCTCATTTTGAAGCGGGGTGGGGGGGTTGTTATTTGTTTTTGTGCGTTTTGTGTTTTGATTGAGCGCGCCACATTGGCGAGATGTTAACTACCTCGCCAGGTATACAGGAGGTCGTGGATTCCATCCCGACGGTGGCGCCTGTATAGTTGCAGCTTGCACGCCTCTCTACCAGTGGTCGCGTGGATTTTTCTCCGGGTCCTCCGGTTTTCCCCTCCACATTTACGAACATGCGTTTTTGAGAATTTGGCTGCGATACATTTCCACACGATAAGCCACTTAGTTGAGCTATAATTTTGAACTTATTTCGCACCGTACCTAGCCAACCGTGCGAGGTAGCTTCTGAAACAGAGGTAACTAGCTCAGTGGGCCTTACCTGGTCAAATTAAATTGTTTAGTCACGTGCGCGCGCAGTGATGCAGTGCCCATGCTGATGGCGGGGGGTTTGTTCTTGTGCGTTACTGCCTTGTTTATGTTTTGATTGTGACTCAAACATTGATTGATCGATCTCACGCGGTGATAATGATAACGACTCCCAGTTAACCCCCCGCCCCCCCCCCCGCTCAACCGATGGAGGCATGCTGCCTCCATCGTCGAAATATTCCCTTTCCGCTCAGTCGAGCCCCCATCAAAACGCCACGACTGCCTCTCGTCACGCGAGTCGTCGGCCTGGTGAAGACAAATTGAACTCGCCGCCTTTCTTCCCCGCTCGCGTCCGACGCCTCCTTGTCCCCTCCGCCGCTCGAGCCCAAAACAAAGTAAAATACCGAGAAAACCCCCTGGCCGCCACGTGCCCTCGCGCTCCCCACTCGACGAACACAGCCCCCGCCAGCCTCAGTGTGAGCGGCGCCCTTGAGACGCGAGTGACCCGCGACGCGGCAGCGAATCGTTCCTCTAGCGCCACGGAGGTCACCCCACGGCGGTCCCCAGCACGCGATCGTCTGGCCCCCCGCCTCCGTCCCTCAGTAACAACTCGCGACGCCGCCCTCGACGCAACGGTTGCATCAGAATCCGTGGCCACGGGCGTCGGCGGCGTCGTCGAGGGCGGGGTCCTCGCCGTGGCCCGACCCCCTCGCTCCAGCCGCAGCGTCGCCCGCGGAGGACGTCTCCACGGCGGAGCGAACGTGCTCGGTTGCACGAGCACACCCCCACCCCCTCCCTCCACCCCTCCACCCCCTCCATCTCCCCCCTCCACCCCCTCCCTCCACCCTCCACACCACCCCCTCCCTCCACCCCTCCACCCCCTCCCTCCACCCCTCCACCCCCACCCCCCTCCCTCCACCCCTCCACCCCCCACCCCCACCTCCTCCATCCCCCCCTCCACACCACCCCCTCCCCTCCACCCCTCCACCCCCTCCATCCCCCCCTCCACCCCTACCCCCTCCATCCCCCCTCCACCCCCTCCCACCACCCCTCCACCCCCACCCACTCCCTCCTCCCCTCCACCCCCTCCCTTCACCCCTCCACCCCCCATCCCCTCCCTCCACCCCTCCACCCCCTCCCTTCACCCCTCCAACCCCACCCCCTCCCTCCACCCCTCCACCCCCACCCCCCTCCCTCCACCCCTCCACCTCCGCCCCCCTCCACCCCCACCCCCTCCATCCCCCCTCCACCCCCACCCCCCCTCCACCCCTTCCACCCCCCCTCCACCCCCACCCCTCCATCCTCCATCCCCCCTTCCACCACCTCCACCCCCCCTCCACCCACTCCCCCTCCACCACCCCCGAGGTAGCGAGGTGCCCCCCCCCACGACTCACATCCACGTGAGCGCCACGCTCACAGCGAGTGAGTCGCCGGCTCGAGCAGAGGGGTCGGCAGCTTCGCGGCTCGTCAAGGGCTGAGTCGTGACGTCATTGATCGTGCTCACCACGTGGTGGCATTGCGGATTTTGAAATGTTGAGATTTTTTTTCGTGAAAAAAAAAAATTCCGCGTTTGTTATTATTTTGGTTTCCGGTGCCTGTGTTGGCGTGATTGTGCGACTCGGGGGTGTGAGTGCTTAGCGGGAAAGATGTCGACATTCAGGCTGAGCCTGCCCTCTTCATGAAGACACTCAACCTCGCCGCCGTGTATTTTACTACGAGATGGAGAAGGGGGGGGAGGGTAACATTCGAAGTAGTCGCCCGTGATCATTCTAATGAACACCACTCGTTCACTCTCGTCCACATCACGATGACAACGTGGAGTTGTAAAGCGTCTAGGCACGCTTGCGTCTCCAGGTGCAGCATGGGAAATACAGACGCACACATACAGTATGCATAGTAGATGCAATGCTTGAATAGGGTATTATAATAGACGGTCGTAGTCAGAGGGGAAAAGGAAAGTCTTGGGACTGGTCCCCTTCAAGGAGGGGCAGAGAGTCCAGACTACGAAAGGGCTGGGGGGGGGAATCTACAAACCACGAGGGCAGCAGAGGAGAAGGAGCGACCTCCCGCTGAGGGACGCATTGGCTGAGAGCTTCGACAGACGGACGCATCGGTTGCTGGAGCTGAGAGTGCGTGGAGGAGAGCAGAGTGAGACGAGAGGACGGGGGGGGGGGGCAGGTATGGATGAGGCCATGGAGGAATCGTGAGTGCTATTGATTGTCGACTGACCTCGATCGCGTCTTTGCCGTAGCAAGGAGTCCAACGTTACTGGGTTGAGGGGACAGAATCAGAATGTGTATTTAGACTGGAAGAATCCGATGAGCTGTAAAGCTCTTTTCACAGATGTCCAACGCCGCGTGTGGAGCCCAAGGAGCTCGCAAATCATTTACGCTAGCTCCCTCCCTTCCCCCTCATCCCTCCATCGCCGCCTCCAACAACTAAAAATATTTTGACTTAAAGCTTGCGTGACTGCAGGAATTCATATTTTTGGGGTCTTTCTGTAGATAGGTTCAAAGAAATACACGACTTTACCTAAAGACCCAAACAATATTTAAAGTGGCATCAGCTTCATGCGACAGTCGCCTCGAGTCGTGACAAAAACCTCCAGGAAACACCACCTCGTCACCCCCCTCCTCACCCCCCTCCTCACCCCCCTCCTCACCCCCCTCCTCACCCCCCTCCTCACCCCTCTCCTCACCACCCTCCTCACCCCCCTCCTCACCCTCCTCCTCACCCCCCTCCTCACCCCCCTCCTCACCCCCCTCCTCACCCCCCTCCTCACCCCTCTCCTCACCACCTCCTCACCCCCCTCCTCACCCCCCTCCTCACCCCCTCCTCACCCCCCTCCTCACCCCCCTCCTCACCCCCTCCTCACCCCTCTCCTCACCACCTCCTCACCCCCCTCCTCACCCTCCTCCTCACCCCCCTCCTCACCCCCCTCCTCAACCCCCTCCTCACCCCCTCCTCACCCCCCTCCTCACCCCCCTCCTCACCCTCTTCCTCACCCCCCTCCTCACCCCCCTCCTCAACCCCCTCCTCACCCCCTGCTAACCCCCCTCCTCACCCCCTCCTCACCCCCTTCCTCACCCCCCTCCTCACCCCCCTCCCCCTCCTCACCCCC